CACACACACACACACACACACACACACACACACACACACACACACACACACACACACACACACACACACACACAAATACACACACACATACACACACACATAAATACACTCATGACACACAAACACAGAGGGAAGGTGGTGTCTTGAGTACAAGGAAGCCCGCCTGTCCTTCAGTCGCCAAAAATCCAGTAGTGTGTGGCACACGGGGTGCTTCAGAATCTCACGTTGAGCAGAGAGACAGTCCTCCCCGCATCAACTGCCTAGCCTTGTGTCCTTGCCCTTCACATTGGACCGACCATCGACCAGCCCTCACTTCGCTTCCCTAACAGTGTGTTCAATTCGCGTTCAATTCGGTTGGCAGTTGCAGAGCTGCAAGTGGTCAACGACGACTCTTACCCTTAGTCAAGAATTGGACAACCTTCTAAGCTGAAGATCGCAAGGCTGAAATAAAGTAGGATGCTGTCAAATTCACAGTTAGGCTGGGTTAGCCCCCCTCTCTCTTCCCCGCCTTCAAAGAACGACCGGTTGAGGGCTCGAATCCAGGCGCAAAATATGGATAAGGCAAATTGAATCTCAAGCTTGTGGCTTTTTCTTCGAACCTGCCAACAATTCCAGTCCTATACATACAAGAAAGCCATAATGTCTGTCCTTGAAATAGTCCCCCTTTTCCCACCTCTACCTCTTTCAGAAGTTCATCCAACTTTCCGAGGTGCCCCTTCTGGGCATGGAACTATCAAGAAAGTCCCCGAATGCGCCTCGCTCCACTGCTGTCCGCTATACAATTTTTTGTCTACTGTAGTTCATGGACAGCTGTCAGAGTGATCCAAAACCGTGGAAACGCTGCATCCCTCCCGTTAGGGCCTCGCCACACCACTCTTGAAATGTGAAAAAGACAAAAATGTGACCGGTGCATCTTGCCATGGTCTACTGGGAAGTTCATTCGCATTTTGCCGATTTCGAGAGTGGTGTGGCAATGCCCTTACTGTCTTTTATAGACCACTCCCCACCGTGACTGCAGCACAAGACCGGGTGTCCAAAGCATTTTGTCCACCCAAACTCCAAGTCCACTGTCCAAGTTTGGGTCGGCATTGTGAGTTCCTTGAAGGACTTTCCACAGAGCGAAGTTTGCAGGCTGGGAATTATACAATCGCATCGCAGAGAGTAGATTGTGCATCCGATTGCTTACTACTGTCCGAGCGGTTGTTCACAAGGGCAGTGGACAGTGAAGTGGAGCGACGTCCGGCTGTCCATTTTTGTATAGTGGACAGCAGTGGAGAGAGGTCCAATGTCTGAGTACACGGCAGCGAAACACTGAGGAGGCCCTTCTGGGCATCTTGCATCTTGATGACAGGACGAGGGAATGAACAGGAAAGGGGAGAGCTGAGCAGGGCAGGTTCATCTCCTAAGGGGGTCGTCGCCACACCGCTCTCTCGAAATGTGCAAAATGAGAATGAACTTCATGGCCAGATGTGATGGCCAGATGCACCTGCCACATTTTTGACAATGTCTTTTTCACATTAAATTTTGGAGAGTGGTGCGGGGAGGCCCTAAAACAAGTTGAAAACAACAGTGCACTGGATAAACCATCTTGTGTCCTTTTCTGGCATGCTCTTGTCGTGTCTTGTCCTTTTCCGGCATGCTCTTCTCCTGTCTTGTCCTTTTCCGCCATGCTCTTCTCCTGTCTTGTCCGTCTCCGGCATGCTCTTCCCTTGTCTTGTTCATCTCCGGCATGCTCTTGTCCTGTCTTGTTTGTCCCCGGCAATGCCATGCTCTTCTCTTGTCTTGCCCATCTCCGGCATGCTCTTCTCCTGTTCCTTTTCCGGCATGCTCTTCTCCTGTCTTTTCCGGCAAGCGATTGTCCTGCCTTGTCCTTTTCCGGCACGCTCGTGTCCTGTCTTACGGATTCGCAGGAGTCAGGAGGGCATTGCACGGAAGAAAGTATCAGAACTGAGTCCACTGACAATCCAGATCAGGCCTGAATGTCACTGGTTAGATATGCTTGCCAGATCATGGGCCTCACTCTGCTACTCTAATAGACTGACAAAAAACTTTGTGAGTGCTCCTAGAGCTGTCAGACCCCTAACACTCTCGAAAAAAGAAGCCTCGCTCCACTTACTCTATATGGCCACACTCTAGAAGCACTCCCGGATTTCGTGAGCAGTTTTTCTTTTGTTTCTAGTGCACTACGAGACAGTGCCCGCCCATTCTGACGACCGGGACACCAGGCACACTCGTGAAAAAGAAAAGCAGCATCGGGGGACCGAGGTAGGAAGGAGGACGCTACAAATCCGAAGAGTTGCACGCTGTGAACTCTAGATGCTTCGTGAGTGAAAGCCCTTCGAGAGTGCTTTCTGACAGCGCTCGAAGGGTGTTTTCGCGAGTTGGTGTCTAGAGTAAGTGGAGCGAGGCGTCACTCATAAAAAGTCTAGAGTCTAGAGTAGTGGAGCGAGGCCCCATGGCAGAAGAGGCAGCAGCAGTAGCACCTGTTTCTGCAGCAAAGTTTTTTTTGTTTTTTCCTGGTTTGACACCCACACTCAGGTCCCCCATCTATTCTGGAGGGCGTCTGTCCCGTTGCTTATCACCGGCAAGCTTAGACACGAACAGGCACACTCCATTTGCCAAGTTCTATTGAATGAATGACAAGTTCCTTGGCTGGCGTCACTGTCTGTGGAAATTTCAGATGCCAACAGATAGACGCAGGAGCATGCATGCTCCTGCATGCTCCTGCTCCAGCTTCCCTGCTCCATATATTGATCGAGAAACAGAACGTGTGCGGCGTGTCTTGCACTTTTCCAAATTTAAATGAATCTGACTGCAATTACCAAGCCGAAACCGGGTAATGGCCCCGGTACTTCAATTTGTTCATAATTTTTTTCTACATGTCTTCATATGGGACGCTGGGCCCGATTCCCAGCACGTGCTGCTCCTCACGAATAGATTGGAGCATGTCTTCCAAAAAAAAAATAAAAAAATCTGACTGCAATTACCGCCACAACACCTGGATGAATTTGACTGCAACGCCGTCCAGAGCTTTGTTCGCAGCCTGTCAGGGTTGTGTTTTTCCCCCCGGAGACATTTCAACGTCATTGAGATTTCAACGTCGGTGGTCATTCGGGAGGGTGGGCATTTTGAGATTTCAACGTCGGGGCTTAGCAAGGGGCGGGGCATGCCAAGGACCAGTCGTTGACCGTAGGAGGCCGAGGAGGCCGGTCCTTAAGTTTTGAACATTCCGAAATCGAAACGGTGTCGGTTCACTCTTCTCAAATAGAACGACAGTTCGGATAGAACATGTGCGTGTTGTGTTCGAACACAACATGTACCCTTTCTACTCGAATTTTGAAAAGGAAAAAGTCTTGTGTTCCAATCACATACTACCTTTTCTTTTTGCTTTTGGAGGTCAGCGCCTGCCCTTGTGATCCCCCCCACTGACATGGTGCATGCTGCAGGTCTCTCTCTCTCTCTCTCTCTCTCTCTCTCTCTCTCTCTCTCACACACACACACACACACACACACACACACACTGTTGTCTATTGGTGGGGAGCGGCACCTGCCCCACCGGCACCTGCTGGAAACTGGGTTCAGCATCCCATGAACATCGTTCATAGAGCTCCAGCCGGAACACCCCCCACACACTCTTCGAGTTGTGTACAGCGAACATAGCAAAACATACGCGCACCATAATGACTACCTCACCCTTCCCCAGCCGCATCAACAAACGAACACCGAACTATGGGCTGCACATCCGTGCCCTCACGGTAAGTCAATAGAAAAAGTCCTAACTAGTGTGAGCATCCCCTGATGAATGTTTACCTCTGTTGTGGCTGAATGCTGATACACACGTGGCTGTTGATAAAAAGACTGAGTTCGAACTCTTGAGGATACAATAGTGTTAGGGACTAAGTTGGCTAACCCCCTTCATAAGGGGCTAAGTTGGCTAACCCCCTTCATAAGGGGCTAAACCCCTTCAAAAGGGAAATGAGAACATGGGGATCATCACTCTGTAGACTGGAAGTGGACCCTAGAGGGACCCAACTGGAACTGTCCCCTGGTGGGACCCACGCCAAGCCATGGAAGGCTGAGGAAGGGACAGCTTGGCTGGCGCCATCCTTCCCAAGACCGACTTCATTTCACACTACCGTCTTCCCACCAAGCACGACGCACCCTCGTTCTGAATGCATCGGACGGGAAAGATGGCTTGTATACATTCATGTTGAGGGTGTGTTGTGTAGAGGGGAAGACTGTAGCTCCGACTACCGGATGCTGACCTTCGACTTTGGTGATCTACAGTCAGCGGGCATCGCTCCACTACACAATTTTGCGAATGTATATTTTAAGCTGGTCTGAATGTATTTTAAGCTGGTAATGGTCCCGATACGTTCAAAATGTTGGATCATACCGGATGTATCTGGTTCAACGCATACTCCACATTCATGTGGAATGTCGAGTACTGGAGCTAGGCCCAGTATCTCTGAATCAATGCTAGCGTAGCCGAATTTCAACGCTAAGCCTTGCTGAAGGAGACGTCAAGCAGGCTTTGAGGGCACAGTAGGACATTTTCTACATGTATCTGACAGTTATTACGGTCAGAGAGAAATGAATGTGACCACAATCACGTCCAGAGCTTAGTAGAAAAAGTCTTAAAATGTGAGTATGCTCTGAGTGCCGTCAGCAACAGCGTTCTGGGCCAGACATATGCGGACGCCCACGCGTTCTATTCGAAGCTTCGAGGCTGCTGAACGATACGTTGAAGATGCCAATCCATTTTCCCTTTCACACTCACACTACGACTTTTTCGACTGAGCTCTGGACGTAATTGCAGTCAGATGCATCCACTTCAGGCAGTAATTACCGCCAGTCAGACTCATTTACGAAAGTGCGGGTGTTGAGTATGCCCCTACTCGCGAAAAAAAAGGGGATAATTTGCAAAATACCCCATAAAAAAGGGGTTGTCACCAGAAAGTTCGTCCCAACGCTGAGCTAGCTCAACGGTGCTAGTGGGACGAGGCCCCTGGTGGGAGCTATGTGCCAATGGGCCTCGCTCCACCTTTCGCCACTGTTATGCACAAAAAAGACCAAAATCGTGGCGGCGCATATTCCCATGTTGTAGGGGAAGATTCATTTTCATTTTGCACATTTTTTTTGGTGAGTAGTGGAGCGAGGCCCCATGGGCCATGGCAGTGATCGACAGCGGATGCCACCCGTGGTGGAGTGTTGGGGCTGCTGTGACACGTGTCAGTCGTTGACGTCCCCTGGCAGAGGATTGCGTTGAATTGTCCTCCAGCAAGGGAGGGTGCAGGATGGTCGGAGGTTCTCGATCGCGATCATCATCAACATCAATCAAGACCGTTATGGTCGTCATCAACCCCCCCCCCCGCCCCTTTCCCCCCCTCCCAAATCAACAGGAGGGAGGAGAAGGAAAGCAAGAGGGGGAGGAAGAGGATGGCTAGGAAACGCGGCAGAAGAGGGAGGAGATGGGATCAGGAGGAGGATTGGGAGGAGGAAGAGGAGGGGGATCGTAGAACAAGAGGAGGAGGGGGAAGGACAGGCGGCTGAGGCGCGTCGGAAGATGCAAAGTGATTGCTGCCTTTTCCTCGAGAGAGAGGTGAGGACTCCGAGAGAGGGAGAGGGGAGGACTCCGAGAGAGAGAGAGAGAGAGTTGGGGACTCCAAGAGAGAGAGAGAGAGGTGTAAAACCCACAAGCCTGAACGCGAGAGGTCGAACGGAAGCAAGCGCCTGTCAGTGACGCCCGTCTTCACCCGAATAGAACGCGCCCGGTCATTATTGCCGCATCTGGACAGAAAATGGCACCAAATACGGATACACGAAGCCCCCAGTTGGCTGCAGCACACGAAAGATTCTGTCGAGAGTTCCTGTTCTGTTCGCTCGCTGACGAAGTTTCGGTGATATCCGTTGTTTGACGGCCTCTCCGCACCAGCCGCCGAAATTAAGGCCATCATGATGACATTGTGGTGCGGCGAGGCCCTGAAGCTTGAAAGTTTTGAGGACGAGATCATCTCTACCTGCAAGGCGAGCAAAGCACCAATCAAGGGATTCTATACACGTGGCGATTCTTCCTCGTCAGTGATGATCATCGCGAGTCGCTGGATGGCCGGGGATCTTCCCTATAATAGTATGTTTCTGCAACTCCTTGCACGAGCAGCCCAGGTCAGCGCCTCGCCTCGCCTCGCCGCGCCTCTGACCAAATATGCCAAATCGAGAACGTAACTAACTCCAGGTAGAAGAACGTGGAATGATTACACGTCCGCCATGGGATTTTTGTCTTTTATTGTGCATTTTGGCCCTCAGTCATGTGCGTCCTTGAGGTCACGGCAGTGCTGTGCAGCTGCGTCTCATTCCCATTGTATTGAGTAAGAATCCCTTTGCACTGGTATTACTACCTCCTCCTCCTCCTCCTCCTTCTCCTCCTCCCTCCCGTTGAGGTTTCGGACTTCAGGTAGGCGTGTGCTTGAGAGCACGGCAGTGCTGTGCAGCTGCTTCTCATTCCGATCGTATTAAGAATTCCTCTTGTAGAGGTATTACTTCCCCCTCCTCCTCCTCCTCCTCCTCCTCCTCCTCCTCCTCCTCCGTTGAGGTCTCCGACTGCAGGCCGGCTTCCAGCTTGCGCGAGTGGGGGCAAAAGTCAACGAAGGACTTTCCTCGTCAGCGATCATGAGAGTCAAGAGGTGCCGCGGCCGACTGCGGATTTTCCCTTGACGTCCTGTAATTCTTGCACGAGGAGCCGGACACGGTCATGTGCGTCCTTGACGGCACGAGAGTGCTGGAGCGCTGCGTCTCTCTCCGATGACAACTCCTCTTGCAGCCGCATCACCTCCTCCTCCCGGCTCTTTAGGTTCCCACTGCAGGCTTCGAGCTTGCGAGTGCAATCACCTAACGACTCTCTGGCGAGAGCCAGCTTCTGGTTTACCATAGCCGAGTCGGTAGACTTCCTCTCCGCCGTCTGAGTCATCTCCCTGACTTGGGCCTTCTTCTGTGTCAGCTCGACCTGAGCGGCTTCCATCTGCGACAAGGCAGTCTTGATGGCCTTGTGCAGTTCCTCGATCTGGGTTGTTAGATCCGTTTTCTCCCTCTTCAGCGCCGCAATGTCCTGATCCCTCTGCCTCAGTTCTTGCTTCAAGCTTAGCTCCTTCACCGTCAGTTGTTTCACTTGCTGCTCCATTTTCTGCGCCGCCAGCTCCCTGGACTCGAGCTCCACTTCCGTATGCACCAGCTGCAACTCCAACTGTACTGACCGTTGATATGATCTGCTGTACAGCAGCGAGTTGTAGGTCGCCACCACGATCGCCACCGCCAGCAGCAAGTGGAACAGATTCTTCCCCCCTAGTGCTTGCACCACACCCATTGCCAATCGCTTGGAATTACCACTAGAAGACAAGATTGACATCTCCTGTCATACAGTTTTAAACCCTAAACCAAAAAGACTTCTAAATGACGCTGCTGCTGCTGCTGCTGCTGCTGCTGCTGCTGCTGCTGCTGATGCTGATAGAGAGGGTGAAGACGACAATGCTGACTCAGAGATGGTAATCAGAGTGTAAGTCGTCGCCATTCATGAGTCAGCATTCAAGGATGGCACACTGAGGTGCGGGGATGGGTGAGCTGAGGACAGCAGCCTGGCAGTTAGCTGGAAGGTTGCTGCTGTGCCCCTGGTCTTTTGTTTATATGTAATTAACGGCTCTCTATGCTACTTGCTTCGTCGTTCCAGTCTGGTCGGTCTCAGAAGGATCTCGCTTCTCAGTCTTTGCCTTTTTTTTGTTGTTCCCGTCTTTTTTTACCCAAATAGAACGCACGGCGCTTATGATTGTACCGTCGACTGACGACGGGTGGCAGTGCCCCCAATACAGCTGCAAAGACCGTCCGTTCCGTTCGGCAGACGAGGGGTAGTATATATGAAAAATGAAAATGAAAACTCAGTACCGCCCGCTAAGGACCAGCCTGGTGCCGTCTGGTGCCGCCTGGTGCCTCCTGCGGCTGATGGTTCTCAGTGGTGTGCTCCCCGCGCCTTGCCGCACGTGTGGCGACCTTGGCCCTTGGGGGGTGCGTCGCACAGACGAGGAGGGTCAGGGCCGCGAACGGTCCCCGCCAGTTGTCCGACAACCGCCTGTCTCGGTACTGTTATACAAGAAGGGTGCTGTGCCACGTGTACAAGCAGTTTATACAAGAAGGGTGTTGTGCCACGTGTACAATCAGGTCATACAAGAAGGGTGTTGTGCCTGCCACGTGTACAATCAGGTGATACAAGAAGGGTGTTGTGCCACATGTACAAGCAGTTTATACAAGAAGGGTGTTGTCCCGCGTGTAGGGGCTGCATGGCGCTCGGCTTCACGGCCAGGCATCATTCTTCTTGATGGCCTCAGCTCCCTACCGTCTTCACAGGCGAATATAACGCCCCTATCATTATCTCTGTACAGCCCCAAATACAGCTATATTGACCGGCCGTTCTATTTCGGTTGAAGACAGTAGTACCCCCTTTTTCCTGCCCTATGTTCCCCGCCACAACGATAACGGCAAGCCGTCTCATGCCAGCTGTGCGAGAAGTTTGACGTCTGACCATTCTCACGAGACCCCTGTGTGCAACGGGAGTGCGAGTTGGCGTCTGTGGGACACTGAACTTCTTCCCAACAACACTTGCTGATCGCGAGCAAGCGGACCGACCGAGTTTGTTCCATACATGTTTCATACGCCCCTCTGTGTAGGCCGAAGGCCACGGCTCTTGCCCGGGTTCACTATAATAATACGACACTACATACAAACAAAGGTACCTATCGTACCTACTGCCACTCTCATGCCGTTGCGCTACAACAGTAGGGTACTACCGTCCTCACCCGAATAGAACGCCCGGTCGTCATAGCTGTACTTCTTGGTGGACTTTTCAGCCTAGAAATAGCGATAATGACCAGCCGTTCTGTGCAGACGAAGATGGTAGGAGGAGGAACTGAGGGCTCTGCTTTCTCTGAGTCACTTCTGCGGGACAGGCCCTGCTGGTCCCATGGCTCCGCCGAGCGAGCAACACAGGGCTTACGTTCCCTTGGCATAGACATAGACATAGCACCGTGGGCCTCCCCGCTGCTTCTCAGGCAATTACGTAGTTAGTGTACATCAGCAGAGAGAGGGGGGGTCTCGTGACAATCTTGTCTTTAAAATCACGGACCGATGCGGACGACATCCATCCAGTGGAGGTAGGGAATTTGTTGTACCTGCGCCACACATAGACCATAGACCTCCTTATATGTATGCTATTACCGTCCCTCAGCAGATCCTCTTCTACCTCGCCGGGATCCCGCTACCTTCGCCACGGGTCTTGGTTGGGAGCAAGGACATGTAAGCCGGAGCGCTCTCGCTCAGCCGCCGAGCAATGCCATTGCCATGCACCTTGCCGCCACCTTCCCGAGCAATGCCATTGCCATGCACCTTGCCGCCACCTTCCCTCGCAGGCCGAACGTTGCCTGGAGTCATGGACGTCCCCTTGCTCTCAGAACCACTACTGCCCCCAGATTACCCACCCTGTGGTACCCAGATTCCATCGAGGCGTTAGCGGACTGTACGATCTGAGAACCATTTCCAAATCCTGCTGTAATAATTCCAGGGGCGACGTCCCTTTCCTTTTTTCATGGCCGTATTGGGCCTCGCTCCGCTACTCCACTGCAAGCCCTAAAAGCTGCAGGTTTTTCTTTTCCTTTTTGAATGGGACAATATCTCCAATCTATTCGTGGGGAACAGCACGTGCTGGCAACGGGGGGCCAAGTCCTGATCCTTGATTTCTGGTCGTTGATCTTCGAAATCTGCGGTCAGAAATAGATCATTCAGGTAAGTGGGACTTGGCCCCGGGCCCAGCTTCCCAACTGAGGACAGGGCTTTGTCAAAGAAAACAGATCATCATAGAAACGGCTGAGAAAACAGGCAATAAACATTACAGAGGTATTATGTACTACTCAGAAGAAAAAGAAAAACTTGTGCAAACTTTCAAGACATAGGGCTAACTCCCAATGACAATAGTCTATCACCACGCAACCCCAAGGGCCTATGTTTCTTTGTTTCAACCGCCAGGCAGCCCTTAGGGCCTGTGTTTCTTTGTTTTTGTTGTTTTTTTTTGCCCGCACACACACAGAGAGGAGGAGAGAGAGAGAGAGAGAGAGAGAGAGAGAGAGAGAGAGAGAGAGAGAGAGAGAGAGAGAATGTGTTCGGCTTCACTGCAGCCTTTGGCTGCGACGACATGCGGAAATCCTGAAAGAACAGCCTTAGGGCTGCAAATTCCGAGCCTCGCCCAATGAGCCAAAACAATGGG